CCTCCTTCGGGAGTCAAATACTTTACCGGATCAGGGTTAAGTCCCTATCGAATGGGCTCCCCAATCCAACCCAGGTCGAGTTGACACTTCTTCTCCGAGAGTCGAGTACTACAACGTCACGCCCCGTGTCTCTGGCATCGCTTAAGACGGTTAAGCCTTCGGGCCTCTGAACTGCACCTAAGTCGGTTAAGCCTTCGGGCCTCTGAACCGCACTCGGTCACGCCTTTGCGCCTTTGACCCTACTCTATAACATCATCCCACAAGGGGCTCTATCGTCGGTCACACCTTCGCGCCTCTGACCATATTTCAACTTCAACTTCCCAGGGGGTTTGAACATTGGTCACGCCTTCGCGCCTCTGACCAAATTAGAAGAGTAATGCACGATATTTTACACTGACAAGAGATATACCTCAATAAGGTAAGGCTCGAATGCGGCTAGATTGAAGACTATTTCTAACCATTAGATATCTGGTTGAACACAAATAAAATTGTCCGGGATGACTCTTGGTCAAAATGTTTCATCTTGTTCCAACAAGCCTCGCGTTTGGGGGATTATATAAGCATCCCGATTAGGAACATAAATTTTACTTACGAGACGGGAGGACAAAAGTGCATACAGAAGCATAAATATATAAATGCCACAAGGGGCTTAAATCTTGAATATTGACAAAATAGTTTGAGTCAATAAAGCATGAATCATGACTATATAGACGCATCAATGGTCTTCAGGGATCATGAGAAAATAAAAACTTAGGAGCATCTCAAATCTTCCATGACTTGGCTGAAATAAAAACACAAATTACTAATAGGTCGGATCCAACTGGGGCTCTCTGTAGCCGATTTTTCAAGTCAACTGCAGAATTTTAAACAGTTCTCTTTACCGAGCTCTTCGGCCTGGTGCGTCTAAAGATCGGGGGGCTTATGTACATACTAAAAATACTTAAGCCGACTTGCATATCAGATAGGCAAGGCTAGGAATATGGTAAGAAGGATGACGAGAATTAGGGATGACCGCATGAAGTCGGATCCTACTAGAAGGCATACCTAGTCGAGAATCTACAAGTCGGATGTCAGCAAGTCGGGGTGAGCAGGGTGATAGAGCTCGTGTTGTGCCAGATCGAGCAAGCCGTGATGCCATAATGGTTCAACAGTTAGAGAAATATGAATGGATGTTCTTAGATGCTACATGAGATAATAAACATCATAAAGGCAACACCAATAGTTACAATCTCATCATTATGCAAGACTCTAAGGGCCACCTCTTAATGAGGTCAGGTCATAAACACAAAGGTATAAATAGGGACTCCCACCTGAGGGATAGGCAAGACAATCTTCTTGAGTATATACTCACCGTCGTAATGTAGCTCAAATCCCTTAATCTAAACAACCATTTCTGCCAAACATACATAGAGTATCACATACACACAAATACCTCACATATACAATTGCAACCTCGCTGAATTAACTTCTGAAAGGTGGTCCAAACATGTTTTACAGAAATAATATATATATATATATATATATATATATATATATATATATATATATATATATATATATATATATATATAATTTTTTACTTTTATATTATTCTCTATCTCCTTTAATATTGATGTCTACACTTATTGTATTCGATGTCGTATTAAAACTTGGATTTTTATGAGTGTAAATAACACATCATCAATTTATATATGTAAGGTTTTTATGAAAAGAAAAACAGTTCGACTTTAATTATTATTAGTTTAAAATATTTTACTGTAATTGTTTATTAAATTAAACTATTATAGAATTTGTTTAATATAATAATTAAACTATATATATATATATATATATATATATATATATATATATATATATATATATATATATATATATATATATATATATATATATATATATATATATATATATATATATATATATATATATATATATATATATATATATATATATATATATATATATATATATATATATATATATATATATATATATATATATATATATATATATATATATATATATATATATATATATATATATATATATATATATATATATATATATATATATATATATATATATATATATATATATATATATATATATATATATATATATATATATATATATATATATATATATATATTAAAAATAGTGTGGAGATGCATGCCCACCATCTTCTAATTTAAATCGGAGAACTTGTTTGAACACCGTCTTCATTCAAGATTAATCGGTACTTTTCATTTATTTTCTTTTCTTTTTCATTTCTCTATTAATCATGTTAAATCTGAAGTGAATCCACCATGTATTCTATCATGTCAACTCATTAGTGTTATTATCTCTTATCTTCAATTTTTAATTTTTGTTAATCGAAAATATTTTATGAATTGAAATTTGTTATCATGTATGTTCGATCTTAGTGTTAGACGGAGATTAATAAACATATCTATTATTTCAAAATAAATTTTAAAATGAAATTGGAATAATTCTATTAAATATCGCTTAAATAGTTGAAAAATTTTGATTGCTTTACCCCTTATTTTCCTAATTGCAGAAAATCTAGGGTTTCACTATTGACGAAACTTGTAAATCGCTTTAAATTTAGTTAATGTGATTGAATTTGTTTTTCTTTATAGATCTAGCACATTTAGGTATTATATAATAAATAAATATTAAGGTTTTTAAGTTTCATTTTCTTATGAGATTGCAGAAAGAGTTATCAACTCAATAGACGTGAAGTAAGGTGAAAAGTGAGCTCAGATTAAACGTCACTGATTCAAGCAAAGAAACGGTGACCACATTTAAGTATTCTAATGCTTCTCTTATATTTATTATTGTTAATGCTTGTTAAAATTATTTTGAATTTTGATATGTAGTGAGATGAAAATACATAGTTTATTTTTTCTTAATGATAAAGTGTTTGTATCCAATGTCATGAAGATTTTTAGGACTTGGATCATCGTTCTCTTTCTCTTTTTCTCTCTATTTTCTTTATTTCTCTCTTAGTTTCACTCATACACTCTCTCTTTATTTTAAAATCATTTTGATTTAGAGAGAGAATGAAATTAAGAGAGATAGAGAAATGAAAGAGAGAAAAAAGGAGAAGAGATGATCCAAAATGAGATTTTTAATTAAAAAAATCAATCATCTTTAATCAAAATATTGACTCTTGATTGTTGGTGATTTTGTATCACCAATGTATTTTAGTAGTAATGTGATTTCTAAAGGCCGATGCAATTATGCGTTAAGTTCGGAGACGAGTTAGGGAAGTGCGGAGTGCACGCTCGTCGAGCCAATGCATAATTGAATACGAATAATTGAAACGGGGTTCCAAGGGGCGAAGCCCCTGGCGGGGTGCGGGGCAGCGCCCCGTGCAAAAATTTTGAATCCTTTCCCCAACGGACATAACTGTTTCCCAACTGACATATTCGTTTCGAACAAATATGTCTCTTCGTTTCAATTATTGTTCTCCTATATAAGGAGTCGTTCGGCCTCGGTCTCGTACACAGAAAAAAAACGCATCCATCTCTCTATAATTACAATTCGTTTTCTTTTGTCGGAAACAAAATTTCTTCGAGAATTATCCCCACAAAAATTTCGTGAACCCAGACAAGAATAGGGTCGAAATACTTTGTTCGGAAAGTGTACGAACACGATTTTTCGAAGTTATCCAGGATTATCACACCCTAAATATCTAACATTGATATCATTATTAGGTTTGGAAAAATACAAAATATGTGAGGATCAATGTCACATTGTATTATGAAACACCTTAGAATCATGGCACCATGGTGAAAGCACACACATTCAACACACATATGTATCATGAATATTACATCATTCATCTAAATTCTTAAGACATTTAATACATGAATGATTTCACTTATATATATTAGTAACACATATTTTTTATTTCATATTGAATTCTTTTATACACATTAACACTCAATTAATCTCTTCTCATCTTATTCGCTATGATAGTCACGTAACATGTCGACATGCCGGGGTCCAATACGTATAGTATTCATCCTCATGGTGATATATTTTAATTGGATTTTGATATCATATTAAGATGATACTCTTTTAAAAAAAATTCTAAATTTAATTTTTCACTTGTTTTCAAGTAAAAAAATTATTTATTAAATCAGGGACATCTATTAAAAAAAAGGTTAAAGATAGTATACTGTCAATATTAATATTTTTAAATTTAAAATATAATTTAATTAGATACACATCACTAATTGATTAATAATATAAAAATATTTTATACTGTTATTGTATACTTTTTTTTCATTAAAAAAAGATTAGTAGTAATTTGGTCTTGATAGTTGTGTACCCAATTTCTCAAAAAGTATAAAATAAATTTCATATGGAATTTTTATTTTTGTTTTCTTAATATTTAATTTAGAATACTTGTTAGCATTTTCTACATTTTCGGAAACTAAAGTGATTATTATCTTAGTATAGTATCGATTATTTAAAAATTCTATTATTACCTTGATCATGTTCAATTTAATTTCACTCAACATATGAGATTTAGGTTGAATAAAGATAGAAACTTATAAGTAAGAATAAACACTTAAGCCGTTTCTTCTCTCACGCACACAACAATCTTAATTTCTGTCACATTAAGAGAAGATTATTATTCGCTGATTTTTTTATGTACTTAGTGATTGATTTTGATTACCTTGTTCTTGAGCCTCCATTACATAAAAAAACAAAAACCACCTCAATCATAGTACAAATCGAACACAACACATTTCGATACTCCAAGAATCCCATTTTTTTCGTTTTACGTAGAATCGACCGTGCAAATTCAATCCTCGAAACCCTTTCTTTGTTTTTTTCTCAATTATTTTTCTTTGTTATTCTCAAACGTTGTGGAAACTGTCATGTTTTGGTGACATGCACCATGTAATTACGTGAATATGGATGAGAACAAGTGCTTACGTGTGTGTCTTTTTCAGAAACAGGTATTATTATAAAAGACAATAACAATGGAAGATGGTTCAATCATGAAATATGAAAAGGTCTCGCCATTCTTCACGTGTATTTTGTGTGATCGAGTTTTGAGGAATGCCACCACAATTTCTGAATGCTTAGATACTTGTAAGTTTTTTTCTACCTATGCTTGAAACTAGGTTTTGATTTATGTTGTTTTTTCATGTTTACCTTTTATGTGATGAATGTTTTTCTTTTCCATTTTTATCAGTTTGCAGGGAATGTATAGAAAGGAAGATAATTGATGAGAATCTAAATCATTGTCCAATATGCAATGTAGACTTGGGATGTTCTCCATTAGACAAACTAAGGTATCGATATGAACCCGACTCCTCTTATTGCAATCTATCTAAGCGTGTCTGGTGTCTAATACGTGTCCGTGTCTCTCATTGTTTGGACATTGAAACGACACAACACATGTGGTTAAATTCAATTATTTCATTTTCTCATGTTATATTCCTGTTGTGACGCGTTTGTGTCGTAATAAGTGTTTGTGTTGTGTCAGTGTTTCATACAGTGTAGCAAATCGTTTTGTTTCTAGTTATACCTTTTGTTGAGTTTTCTTGAACTTAACTCGCTTGTATATTATATTGGAAATGGAAATCTACAGGACAGATAATAATAAGATAACAATGATTAGTAAAGTTCTGACCTCTACAGAAAAACATTTGGGGAATGTTGCTTCAACTCAAGTAGTTAGCAATAAAAGGAAGAAATCTCAAGTCTCTTTGAAATCCTACGCCAAAAAGGCGAAAAGAGATTCAAAGAAAATTAAGAAAGAGGTGAGAAAAGGAAAGCAGATTCAGCAAGAGGCAAAGCAGCTGCAGGAAGAACTTCCTATCACTCCACAGGAACCAAAAACTCCTGCTTCTGATATCGCTGTTGCAGCGGATGTTAAGAAAGACGCGGAACAACAACGCGGAATAGAAATTTTGGATGAAGTTTCTACAATTCTATCTGCCAGAAAAGCAAAAAATGTGGCAAGAAAAAAGTTTATCAGAACTGAATTAGATTCTACTTCTCAGCCTGACAAAGTTCATCCAAAATTTCATGGTGGAAATAATGATGATAATCGCCCTCAGCTTGAAACATTCACTGAGACTCCAAAAATCAGATTTAAGGTAAAAGTGTAACTTTTTTTCTGGTCCTCTATTCTTTATCTGAATTGTGTATCAGTGTTGTCAATTGCGGATTATAGAAATATCAGTTTGTTCAAATTCCATTACGTTGCAGCGCTAAAATGCTGATAGCCGCTATTTGACAATGTAGTCTTAATTTAACAACATTGTTGTATACTATGATTAGCAGAGTTTTTCAAAACCAGAATCATCAAACCAGCAGACAGTGTTCAAGAATGTTTCTAGGGACAAAGCTGAGTTAAGGAAAGAAAAAGCTGCTGTTAGCGAGCCGTTGAACTGGTTTGTGGAAACTACCAAAGCGGACAATTCTCTTAATAACACCCCCCAGCAAGGAAATGGTGTCATCCCAATGCTTGTGGACTCTAGTGACAGCGACTCTCGTAACGTTTCTAAGGCTGCTGTTAACAAGCATTGTAACCACCAAACAGAAGCAGGTGGCGATCAAAATGAGTCTGGTCCATCAAAATCAAGTTCCTTGAAGTTTAAGATTAGAAGGGTGGACACAACCCAAGAAAAGAGAGTGAGATTTTCAGAGGACTTGAACCTCCCTGCACCACCTGAAGTTGAAAGCAAAAAAGACTTGGGTCCTGTCTGGTTCTCCTTGATTGCTTCTAAGGATCGGTATGACTACTTTTCATGTCTCGTTAATATTCATCTCCTGAAAACTCGTATCATATATATCATATTTGAATTTCTTGATGCAGAGAACTCGGTGCGCTGCCACAAATATCTTCTCATTACTTAAAAGTCCAGTAAGTTTTTTTACTTTCTTATCCTTAACTGAACATGTTATGTGTGACAAACAAGATTATAAAACTTCTGTTTCTTTGGTAAAGAGGCACTTTTAAATATTCACTAGGACAGTTCAAGAAAAGCCTAAAACTCGATTTGTGTCACTAATTTTGATCAAACTCCGTTCGGTTTCCTTCCCAAACCGAACCAAAAACAGATTCCTATATAGCGAAATAGACTCTTCTTCTCACTAATCTTTACCTTATTGTTTATAGGGATGGAAGTTTAACTGTTTCATATATCAAAAAGTATCTTGTGAAGAAGCTTGATCTTACTAGTGAAGCTGAGGTATGTTGTTTTTCTCACTTTATTATGAACCAATGTATTACGACTTTTTGAGAAACTTATTGTTAATTTTGATTATTTACGCTTATACTGTTATAGGTGGAGATTTTATTAGGAGGGAAGCCAGTTTATTGTTCAATGCAGGTGCAAAACTTGATGGAGCTGTGGTTGGAAACAATGTCAAAGAAAGAAATGATTGAGACATCTGTTGGAAGTTCAGCTGAGGATTTTGTTATGGTCCTTTCTTATGGTAGAAAGGCTTGAGATGAGGATTCATACATGAACTATTTAGACATCTTTGGATTCAATTTTTACAGGGATTAAAGTGATTTTAGAGTTATATACTTGATTTTTACATGTTTAAATGTTATTGGTTAGAAGTTATTTTGGTTTCGGAGTTTTTTCTTAGTTTAAGATAGAATTTTGAGCTTTAGACTCTTGGAAGTAATGTTTAGCTCCAAATTTATCATTCAAATACTTTTTTTTTACTTGCAGCCTCACATATACTTTTATATGTGTCTTTGATTTTTTTTCCAATAGAATTTGGATATTCTCTATAGGGATTAATCTTTCGAGACAGAGAGGACCACAACAAACAATTAAGTTTTCTCTTTAAAAAATTTAATATTATTGTATATTCAGAACTGTATTTAAACTCAAGACATTTGATTAAGTTGAAAAAATTTCATTACGATTTTATTTGATCTCATCCAAATACTATTGGTATATCTGACTTTGACCTATGCAACACAACTTTGCTTTTGTTTTTAAAAGAAAACAAGAAAGTAAGGATTTTAGCAAAGGTTTGATTCCTTTTTGACACAAACTTATTGATTTTGTCACTTATTAAATACTTAACAATGTTGAAAAATGTGATCAATTAAATTTTGTAGGTGGTTAAAGAATATCATATGTATATTTTCAACCCTAATTTCTTGACACAAAATTGTCTATTCTTTATTAAATGATTAATGGAGTTTAAATAAATACATGATTAATTGCATTTAGTAGATTATTTATGAATATTTTGTATATGTAAAATTTAGAAAACTGATTTTTTGACACATAACACCATTTGTTTTTTCACCACATAATTAAGCATGTTCTAATAGGTAGATTAATGTTATAATTCCATAACCACATAATATATTAAATTAACTAAGTATTTGCATATAATTCACTCTATAATGAACTCGTGTTAACTATAGAGCATGCAGTGAACGATACTATACAATGTCAGTATGTTATCCGAGTATCCAAGTTTTATTTAGAGATAAGCAAATTCGGAGATTTAACAAAGATGGTAAAATTATGGGAGTTATTTTTTTTCACTATAAAGTATTAGAAGTAATTTAATATTTATCATTTGTGAATATTCTCTTTAGGATTTATATGGCATTCTTATTTTTACTACTTTTGTGTATAAATAGGTGTACTAGGTTTCATTTAATACAATCAATCATCTTCCAAACATTTGTGACAGCTTTATAGCATTTATTTTTTTCTCTCTTCTTCCTCAATTTCATCACCTTGCACCAACAAATTGATATCTAGAGCTCTTCGTTTGTTCTGAAATTCTGGGAAACACGAGTGATAGTGAGTTGTGTGTTTGATTTTTGGTTCCGGATTTCTGTTGAATCTTGAACAAAAATCTGAACAGAATCACACTGATTTTATGGGTTTGGGAAACACTGAGTGAGAATCTGAGATCCGAGTTTTTCTGCAAGGTTTAAGATGAGTGGAGGCAGTAGTTTGAACACTAAACTTCCAGTTTTTGATGACAAAAGCTGGAACAGATGGATGATACAAATGTGTGTGCTATTTGGTGCTCATGATGTTCTGGATTTTGTTACTGAAGGTTATGTTCCAGTTGCAGCAGATGCTACTAAAGAACAAAGATTTGCAGAAAGTGTTACGAAGAAGAGGGATCAGAAAGCTATGTTCTATATCCATCAGTGTGTGGATGAAAGTGTGTTTGAGAAGATTGTTGATTCGACGACGTCGAAAGAGGCATGGGATATACTGGTCAGATGTTATGGTGGTAACGCGTCAGTAAAGAAGGTAAAACTTCAGTCCATGTGAAAGCAATATGAGAATCTCAACATGAAGAACAGTGAGAAAGTTTCTGAGTACATCTCCAGAATGATTCTGATCACTAATGAGATAAAAGCTTGTGGAGAAACACTTTCTGAACAGGTAATCGTAGAGAAGATTCTGAAGTCACTTACTCCTCAGTTTGATTATATTGTTGTTTCTATTAAACATTCTAAAAATATGGAAACCATGAGAATAGAAGAGTTGCAAAGCAGTCTAGAAGCGCAGGAGTTACATCTGACTGAAAAAACTTTTGAGAGGGAAGTGGAGCAAGCTCTGAAGGCTTCTTTTGTCAAGAAGGACCAGAAGCAGAATAGACGTGGTGATAAATTCCAGAAGTCAGAAACCTCAACTTCTGATGAAAAGAAATATCAGAAGGGAAATGAAAGGTATGCCAAGAAAAAGGTTCAATGTTACTGTTGTAAATAGTTTGGCCATTTTGCCAGAGATTGTAGAAACAAAGGAAGGAAGTCAGAAGAACAAAATATAGCCAGAGGAGATTCTGATGATGAACTTGTGCTATGGTGGCTTCTGATTCTGATGGAAACTATTCAGAAGATTGGTGGTATATGGACACTGGTTGTTCAAACCACTTAACTGGGAACAAACAATGGCTGATAGACTTTGACTCCAGAAGGAGAACAAAGATCATATGTGTTGATGATAAGTATCTTAATGCAGAAGGTATGGGAAATGTCAAAGTCATAGTGAAGAATGGAAAAAACATTCTGATCAAAGATGTTTGGTATGTTCCGGGAATTAAAAGCAATATGATGAGTATGGGTCAGCTCATTGAGAAAGGTTTCTCAATGGTTATGAAGGACAACCTCTTGACGTTGTATGATTCTAATCATAAGCTGATTATGAAGTCTGAGCAGGGAAGCAATAGAACATTCAAAGTGAATGTAAAAATAGCTGAAGCAGAGTGTCTTAGTGCAGAAGGCGCTGAAGGTGACAGTAAGTTGTGGCACAAGAGGTTGGGGCACTTGAACTATAGAAGCTTAGGGCATCTAAGTTCTAAGAAGCTTGTATATGGCATTTCGAATATTGTGAAGCCTCAGAAGTCATGTGATATATGCATGAAAGGCAAGCAACCCAGATTGCCATTTACATCAGAAGTAGTTCCCAGAGCAAAGTATGCTTTGGGAGTAGTACATTCTTATGTGTGTGGACCATTTCCAGTATCTTCACTTGGAGGAAACAAATATTTTGTGTATTTTGTGGATGAGTTCACAAGAATGATATGGGTAACACTCATCAAGTTCAAGCATAAAGTGTTTACTGAGTTCCAGAAGTTCAAGGTGAAGGTTGAGAAGTAGAGTGGTCGGAAGCTGAAGATTCTGAGAATGGATGGTGGAGGTGAGTATAGCTCTACAGAGTTCCAGAAGTTCTGTGAGGAGAATGGAATAGAACATGAGGTTATTGCTCCATATACTCCTCAGCACAATGGTCTTGTTGAAAGAAGAAACGGAACTTTGCTTGATATGACCAGAAGTATGCTGAAAGAGAAGAAGCTACCTCACATGTTATGGGGAGAAGTTGTTACCACGTCAGCATATGTTCTGAATAGGTGTCTAACAAAGAAGCTGGAGGAAACTGTTCCTTTAGAAAAGTGGACTGGAGACAAGCAAAGTGTTAGCCATCTGAGGGTGTTTGGTTATGTATGCTACAAACACGTTCCAGAAACTAGAAGACGAAAACTGGATGATAAAAGCAAAGTAATGTTACTGTTGGGGTACCACAATATAGGTGCCTATAAGCTTTATTGTCCAGAGACATTATTGTAAAAGAGTCAGAAACATGGGATTGGAACAAGCTTCAATCAGATTCTGGTGTAGTGCCAACACCAGAGTTAGTTTTTGAAGATTCTTCAGAAAGTTCTGAAGATGAGTTAGAGTCAGAAGATGAATCTGAAGACTCTGAAGATGAGTCAGAATCTCAGGGAGATTCTGATAGTGGATCTGATTCTGATGATGATCCAGAATCTGGTGGTGATTATATTTCTGGAAGGGAAAACTCTGAAGACATAGGGTCTGGAGGACAAGCTTCCAGAAGTAACTATGAAGGTGGTAATTCTGAAGGAAGTAGTTCTGGACAAGGTCCAGAAGCTAGAATTGTTCTGAGTTCTGGAGAAGCTTCAGAACAAGTTCAGAGGCCACAGAGAATTAGACGAATACCAAGTAGGTTTGCAGATTTTAGCATATTGCGTGATACTGAAGTAGATTCTGAAGGAGAAGTCGTTCAGTGTGCCATGTTAGTAGATTCTGAACCAGTGGGTATTGAAGAAGCTCTCAAGAAGAAAGTATGGTTAAATGCCATGAAGGAAGAACTTGAGGCTATTGAAAGAAACAAAACTTGGAAGCTGATGAAGCTTTCAGAAAAGAAGAAAGCCATCAGCGTCAGATGGGTTTTCAAGGTGAAGCTTAAACCAGATGGATCAATTGGCAAACACAAAGCGAGACTAGTGGCTTTAGGTTTTCTTCAGAAACCTAGGCTAGATTACTTTGAGGTGTTTGCGCCTGTAGCTAGACACAAAACAATCAGACTAGTGATTGCTTTAGCTGCAAACAGAAATTGGCCTTTGATACATTTGGATGTGAAATCTGCATTTCTGAATGGTCCGTTACAAGAAGAGGTTGTTGTACCCCAAAATTTGCCCTCTCATTTCTCAAAGGATCACCCTGGACCCTCAGGTTTGTTCCCATCCAATTTCAAGCCTTGAATTGCAAAGTTTCCAAGAAAGTCATTCACAAGGGCAAAATGGTCATTTGCATAATGAAAAGTCAAACTTTGACTTTTGGATCTAAATCAACTTTCCAGAATCATATTTCATCAAGACATGTTGGAATGTGAGATTTGTTTCATCAAGATATTCAAAAGTCAAAATTACTTTGGAAAAGTCAAATTTCTAAATACTTAGAATTTTTCTAAAGTGTTTAAGAAATATGACAAGCTCAGAACTTCTGATCAGATTATCACCATGATGCAAGCTAATTCTGAAAGAACTTCTGGCACAAAAGTTATAGATTTCAATAAGATCTAAAACATTGCAGAACAGAACTTCTCCTGGAAATGCTGGAATTTCAATTTATAAATGTTCAAAGACATGTCCATGAAACTAAAGCACTCAGCAAATTCTGGAAACTTTCAAGACAGAGTTTGGTCAGAAC